TACTGATGCATTATTTGCATAAACATTAAAATGTTGTAAGGCCAGTACCAAACTCAACAACTCTTTTTCAATGGTTGAATATTTTTTCTGGTGAATATTGAGATCTTTGAAAAATAACCAATCGGCCTTGCATTTCCATAATCATCCTCCTGTAACAACACAGCTGCAAAACCTATATCACTTGCATCGATGGTGACTTTGAAGGGTTTCAAAAAATTTTGGCTAAAACTGGTGCAGTGGTTAACACTGCTTTTAAATTATCAAATGCCTCCAGGCTTTTATTGGTCCACCTAAACCTCGTGTAATTTTTAAACAAACCCATCAACGGTGCCACCATGCTACTAAAATTTGGTACAAATTTCCTATAGAACCCACTCAATCCTAAAAATTGTAGCACTTCCTTCTTCGAGGATGGATTTCAAAATTTCTCGATGGCCTGCATCTTCACATTCCTTGGTGTCATCCGTCTGTGTTCGATGTTGTGCCCTAAGAATGTCATTCCTGCCTTCGCAAATACTGCTTTTTGCCAAGTTTATGATCAACTTTGCCTTCCGTAGTCTCTCAAATAGCTCTGCCAATGCTCCATGTGATTCTCCCACGAATGGCTAAGTCATTTATGTAGATGGCACAATTAGTCAATCCTGCAACAACTCTGTTCATAAGCCTTTGAAAAGTTGCTGGTGCGTTTTTCATTCTAAAGGGCATCACTTTAAATTGATACAGCCCATTTGGGGTTACAAAAGCAGAAACTTCTTTCGCTCTCTCCGACAAAGGTACTTGCCAGTAACCGCGAAGTAAGTCCAACTTTGTGATGTAGGTGGTTTGTCCTACTTTTTCCATACGGTCCTTTAGTCTTAGAATTGGGTACAAATCAGATTTGGTCACAGTGTTGACCTTCTGATAATCTATGCGGAATCGTTGAGTACCATCAGGTTTGGGAGCCAACATGATCAGTGAACACCACTTTGACTCAGCTTTATGATGACTTCTTGGAGCATCGCTTCTACTTCCCTCTGAGACTGCCGGTTTGAGAGGATTAAGCCTGTAAGGGTGTTGTTTTATCGGAACAGCATTCCCTACATCAATCTCAGGTACTATGATGTTAGTCCTCCTTATTGTATTCCTACATATGCACTCAGAGCGCTGTGACGAGTCTTTCAATTCAATTCTCTGTTCCTGGTTCAGATAACTCACTACCATATCCCATTCCTTAAGGACTTCCTCATTATTCAATTTATTCTGAGGCACATCAAAATCTAAATCATCTGGATTTGATTCCTCACTCTGAGTCACAGTAACTAATACCTGTTTTTCCCGTTCCCGTTCCCTTTCCCTTTCCCTGTCATACTAATATTTCAGCATCAAAAACAAAGTTGCTGGAAAAGCTCAGCATATCTGGCAGCATCTGTGAAGGTAAAAACAGAGTTAACGTTTCAGGTCCGGTGACCCTTCCTCAGAACTGATGGTGCCTGGGAAAATGTCAGTTTATATGCCGAAAATAGGGAGGTGGGTGGGGTATGCTTAAGTTAATAACACTCTGGAACACATTCTGATTCCTTTTCCAAGTAGGCTTTATGATATAAATCCTTTATCGTCTAATCTTTTTGTTGTAACTCCATTAATCTTTCAGAACTACACATCTCTGCCTGATCCTCTACGTGCTTAGGTTTTTCTTTTACTATCTCATCAAACAGGGTGTCAGCTAACTGGACCTCAACTTGTTCATCTTTCTCTTTTGTTTTTCCTTGTTTTAATTTATGACTGTGTGATCTTGTCACCACACAGTCCAGAAAAAATTCAGGATATTTTCCTTTTAACTCCTAGCTTCCCTGGTTTTCTTTTGGCTTTTCCACAACAATGGGCATCACTCCCACCTGTGATCCAGCTACTATTGTTTCTAAGAACAGACTGTATTCCTGGAATAGCCAATTTTTCCATCACTCCCACTGTCACTTGCCCAGTCTTGATTGGACTTACTAGCCTTATTTTACACAGAGGAACACTAATCCTCTCTCTGTTCATTTCACAGATTATTACTGTCTCGAGCAATATTTCAGAAGGAGTGCAAATATTTTCATCTCTTACTGTTAGAGACTGACCAGTTCCCATATCTCTCAACATATGTATATCCTTACCAAGCTTTTGGCTACAATGGATTTGCTCATCATCACTATCCTCCTCTCTAAGCCTATCTTCTACTTTCACCTCCATCCTGTTATGTCAGCTTTGCTGTCTAATTGTCAACTTCTGAAGTTCAAACCCTCTTTTTCTTTTTGTTCTGCTTTTAACCATAATTTAAGCTGTTTCAGTTCCCTTTCTGTTTCTCCAGGTAGGAATTTTCTTTCCCTTTCTCTTCAGCTAGGGTTCTTCTTTCTCTTTCTTCCTCATCTAACTCCAGTCGTCTCAGTTGCAATTTAATTTTTTTTAACTCCACTGCACTTGACTGTCTCTCTGATATACCCAAGTGCTTGACTAACTCCATTTCAATATCAGCTTTCTTATTATCTCTATTAAACCCAATTTTAGCCTGTCTCCTAATTCTAAAAGTGTCCCCTTTCTCTATCTTTCTAAACTTTCTTGGCAAATGTGGGAAGCATCTTCAACCCCCAGAACATCTTTAGCAATGTTAAGAGCCATTTCCCCACTTTTGATTTGACCAACAACAAGCAACTAAAATTAATCAGATTTTCCACTTCTCACTTAGGTTTTATTTAAAGATCTAGGACACTAATCCCGAAGTCTGTTTAAACATGTCAGGACCTTTCATACCTCAACTCCGTTCGGATCCATCCAAATCCATTCGGATCCATCCAAATCCCGGACATAGGCCCCCCGTCTGTCATAAAACAGAAGTTGACACCCCCTTCCCAAGAACTAAAACTGAAATGCCCAAAGAGGAGCGCCTCACCCTATAATCTGTAAAAGGAGCATGAAAAGTGGTGCTACCTGCCTTCCAGCAACTTCTAGTGGTTAAATACAATAAAATCCCTGACACTCGGTTTACAATCAACAAGTAACAGTTTTTTAATCTAACTCCAACAGTGAACAAATTAATTAAACTATTAACAAACCAAATAAATCCCTTCCAACTACTAATAATCCCTGAATAAAGCGAGATTCTAATGGTATGATGTTCCAATAAATACAAGTCCCACTTATATAAAATAAAATTTTAAAATGAAGAATTTAGACTCCCGAAATTACGTGTCTTCTGGAATGCTCTGTGCCTTCATCGATTCTTCTGTCACAAATATTCACTAGTTGTGCCGTGGGTACTTTTGTTCTCCAGATAGTGCTTTCTGTAAGACTTAGACAAGCATGTGAGAGCCAGTGATTCTTTCTTGAGAATTGAGGGCTGTTAACTCTGGCAGATGGAAGTTAGCTCTCCTGTCTTTGCCCAACTACTCCTTTTATACCTTTTGAAGACATACCAATTTCTTGCAATAGGATTAGTCGTATGTTGTCGAAACTATCAGATTTAAATTTAATTGGTTTTTGGTATCTAACTGCCTGGTTCAAATTGATTGGCTGAATTAAAACTTGTTGACTTGGTAAAAACTGCTGTTTGGCCTGCTAACTGTATCGCCTTTTGATACAAATATTTTGATTCAAGTGCTCTCTATGTACTTGCAAAATTTCAAGCTGGTGCTCAGACATTTTTTAAAATCTTTAAGCATAGAAAAACCATACAAATTTTTAAAGGGACCATGCAATGCTTTCCCCCAAGCATTTTACAAACACCAAATTCTTACTTCCTGCCTGCCAATCCACAAGTACTCTACCCAACTTTGCAACACTTAAAAGTACATATCGTAAAACTGATACAGATAATTACAAAGTACAAATCCATGAAATCACAAGGTAAGCTATACTTAAAAGTTGTACAGAGTGTACATATAGAATAAGTATAAAATAAACAATATATAAACGGTGAGATTATGAGCTGGCCTTACATATTCAATCAAAATAAAAGCTTTGAAAAGTTATGCGCTCACAAAACTAACCATGCATTGTTACAAACATTAACTCTAAATACATTTATCAAAAATGTGACCTTTATTTAGATAAAACACTGAATTAAAAACATTGAACTAAAAACATTGAACACAACCATTGTCTGTCTTTGTTCTGCTGAAGATAGATTCTTGATAATGACATATTGATATGAAAGCTCAGCCATTCAGCCATAACAAAGAAGTACAATATTTGGTTAGTCAGTTAATATACTCTGAACTAAACTATTCATGAAACGTTAATTTTTCTTTTTTTTAAATTCCTTCATGGGACAGTAGTAGCTCTGGCTAAGCCAGTATTTTTACCCTTGCCTAATTGCCTTTGAGTGACTTGCTAGGTCATTTCCAAAGGTAGTTCAGAGTCAACCGCATTAGCTGGATCTTGAGTCGCAGGTGTGAGCAAAGAACAATCAGAAGCATAGGAGAAGCAGCAAAGAAGAGCAGACATCAGAGGAGCAAAGCCTCTATTCCAGGACATACACCAGGAGAAGATGATTGAGCTGGTGTTGGAGGACACCGTGGATAATTTGAAACCAAAAATAAGTATCTTGAAGATAGTTATTTGGCCGATTGGAGGTTGGCAAGGGAAGAATAATGGAAGTAAGCATGTAAAGTATGGCAATACGAATGAGTTGTAATTTATGGAGATTGGAAGACGATATTAAATAGCATTTTTGCAATAGTGCAGTCAAAAAGAAGAGGAGTAGAGGTGAATTTTCAAGATGAAAGAAATCATGTGATAAATTGAATATCAGGAAGCAAGTTAACTCGGAATTGAGTAATACGTCCACCAAAAGGTAGCATATAAATGATAGATTGGTGAATAGGGCGTGAATATTTGATGAAGATGGAAAATGATACTTCATTCAAAATGAGTAAAATCATGTTTGAATGAGGTAAGAAGTCTTGATGATAATTGAATTAGAGTGGTATGCATTTTACCATCATTTATCAAGTTATTATTCATATATTTTATATCTTTAACAGAGACCTTGCTGCCAGGAACTGCCTTGTAGGTGAAAATAATGTTCTTAAAATCAGTGATTTTGGCATGTCAAGACAGGAAGATGATGGAATTTACTCATCATCTGGCTTGAAGCAAATTCCAATTAAATGGACAGCTCCAGAGGCTCTAAACTACGGTAAAAAAGTTATTTTATCTAATGCAAATATTAAGCAGTATATTTTTATCATACTATTTACTTACACTGACTGAATAGGCAAGATTCTGTTACAGGTAGTTCTCCGATAATGCAATAGTTGTGTTCTTGTGTGACCTCGCGCTATAGAAAATCACTGTAGAAAATTGTGTTAAAGAGAAATCGCTATAGAAAATCACTATACTGTACAGCAGAAAGTTTGCGTTACCCAAACAGCGTCCACTATTCATTAATCGTGTTAAAGCCAATTGGCATCAACGAAACGTGTTATAGCAGTACTACCTTTATTATTGTATTATATTCTAGAATCTCTGTCAGCATTTTAGAGTCGTAAAGTCATACAGCATGGAAACAGACCCTTCAGTCACACCGGTCCATACTGGCACGGTGGCTCAGTGGTTAGCCCTGCTGCCTCACAGCGCCAGGAACCCAAGTTCGATTCCACCTTTGGGTTACTGTCTGTGTGGAGTTTGCGCGTTCTCCCCGTGTCTGCATGAGTTTCCTCCAGGTGCTTCGATTTCCTCCCACAGTCCAAAGATGTGCAGACTAGGTGGATTGGCCATGGTAAATTGCCCGTAGTGTTCAGGGATGTGTAGAGTAGGTGCATTTTGGGGGATGGGTCAGGGCGTGGTGCTCTGTGGGTAGGTGTGGACTTGTTGGGCCAAAGGGCCTGTTTCCACACTGTAAGGATGCTGTCAAAATTTCTGTGATAATAATCCCAAAGTAAACTAGCCCCACCTGGCTGCATATCCATCCAACCTTTCCTATTCATGTAGTTAATCTGATTCTGTAACACTGGTGTTTTCTCCTCAAAAATGTCAATGTGGCCTTGATGATTGTTACCATTTTTCCTTTGTCTATGATTTCAATTGTAAATCATACTTTTTCATTAAAGGGGAAGTGATATTATCACTGGACTATTAATCCAGAGATACCGAGGTAATGATTTGGAGACCAGGTTCGAATCCTGCCATGGCAGATGGTGGAATTTGAATTCAGTAATAATCTGGAATGAACTATCTAATGACCACAGAATTATTGACAATTGTCAGAAAAATGTATCTTGTTCACTAGTGTCATTTAGGGAAAGAAACAGACATCCATACCTGGTCTGGCCTACGTGGTTGTCTCTTTACCGGTCTCTGGGCATTTAGGGATGAGCCATAAATGCTGGCCTCACTACTGACAGCCACATCCCATGAAGAAACAAAAAAAAGTTACTACAAGTTATACAATAATGTGATAGGTAATGTGGCATGGCTGTAAGTAGGTGCCTGGGTGTTTAGAAACACTGGGAAGGAGAGAATTGTAATAGTATTGCTTCGAGCATTAGAGGTGTGATAGTTTGAACATATGCTACTTAGATATTTCCCAATTCAAATCAGTGGATTCTGTGAATGGGTTGGTGGATCTTTCTGAATGGCAAATGGATTTCTGAGTTTCTTTCAGTTCTTTGAGACATTAATCTGCATTTGATGAGAAATCTGACAACATTCAGGGTCATTGGTATTTTCACTTAATGTAAGTCAGAAAATTAATGTCACTTGTCTCTAATTCACACAGTTGTGCTAGTTACAGTAAAACCTCAAAAGTTTGAACAAAGCACAACTGCAATATTGAACCTTTGGTGTGTGAAAAAGATTTCAAATTTGATGTTTCATTTTTTAGTTTGTTCAGAAATCATTTTCCAATGAGAAAAGACAAACAAATAAAATGTTTTATTAACTGAACATGTAATCAGTATTTTAAAGCTGCTCATATCAAATAATAATTTTTGAATTAAATTACAATGGAACAAAGTTATGCATAGGTTGTCTTCCCTTCTGTGTCTGCTGGACAAGTCTTTCCTCTGAACTAAGAATGTGAACCTCCAAAAAAAATTTCTGCAGTTTATTATGAAAAAAAATGTGAACAAATACACCTTGTGTCTGCACCACAAAAAAAGTCTATCTTTTCGCTGTATTGAAGTAATTCTATTCTTCTATCACAGGAGAAGTGAATACTGCACATGTTCATACTATATAGTTTCCCTTCAGCTGACAAAGTTTTACATGTCTAGGTGAAATTATCAAAACCAGGCTTTCCAGACATGTAGAATCCGTCATGTGAAAACATTAGTAATGTAACCAGTCACGACTTGGGGGTTGTTAATTTTAATCATGTTTTGAAATATGAAATATTTAACTTTTTATTATGTCAAAGCTTATTTCAATCATTTTGATTTTTGCAATCTCTTTTAGTGATATTTGATTTGTTCTGCTTGGCCATATTACTCAAAACTTGTTAGGATTATGCAAACAACAAAGAAAGCATCAGCAGTAAGCAAATTATTCCAAGCATCCAAACAAATCACCATAAAAAACCTGTTCTTAAAAAACCCTTCAGGATATCACCCTACTTCTCCTTTAAGCTGAGTACTAACCACTGTAAATAAGATTTGGAAAATAACATACATAAAAATGTCTAGATTTACCAAGAATTACTATTTGAGACTAAAATTTGCAGGCTTCAATTTACAGCATGCAACTTTTGCACAGCTTTGAAAACAGTTCACATCATAGAAGCTATAAATTGATCCATCTGTTTAAAAAATTATGAAGAGATCCCCAACAGTATAGTTGTTTAGCACTTTCTGCTATGTTAGCTAATTACAGTAGGGGTACTCCAATCCACCTCTGCTCTCAGGACTCTGGATAGAAAATATCATTCAGATTTCATGATCTGGTTAAGCAGTCATCCCTGTGACCAGTAATCCGGAGTGGACTTTGGATGAGCAAGGATGACTTTGATTTTCTGTATGATATTCTGTATAATCTAATTTACGCTTGCATATGGAGGACAGACAGCTAAACTTTGGTACCGAAGGAAAGAATTACATTGATCGAAAGTTGGAATCTTTACAAAGAGAAAATAAGAACACTTCGCCCACCTTGCTATGCTACCTGATCATACTCAATTGCATATGATGGGCTTTTATCATAGGTTCAGATTTATCTATTTTTAATTAGTTTGTAAGGCACAAACAATTGCAAAGCTTGAAATAAATGAAGGGATGTTTGATATAAATGTTCTGTCACAGGACGATACAGTTCAGAGAGTGACGTGTGGAGCTATGGGATACTCTTGTGGGAGACATTCAGCTTGGGAGTGTGTCCGTATCCTGGAATGACTAATCAACAGGCACGAGAACAGGTTGAAAAAGGTACGCTTATAGTATTAGCACTAATATACAGATCTCGGAGTAATTTGAAGTTTGTATTACTACATGCTACTTTTCTGTGACTGCTTATGAGGAAGTTAAACAGCACCTGAGGCTGAGTCGCCTTTTTCTGTGTGATCAACAAATTTGACTATTGTGAGCCCTAGCCATATTTATCAATGAAAGTTTTTGTTATGCTATAGCAATAGTGCAAATTCTTTATTATCTCAATGTGAATGTTAGTTGTACTGCTGTCAATTATTAGTTTTGACAAAACCCCAAACAGATTAAACCTACTTCAAATCTACATTTTCTTTAAATTCCCACTCTTATCAACGGTTTTACATTTTGCTACTATGAGATGCGTAGTGTTTTAACTTAACAACATGATGTGTGACATGACACATTGTGAAATATCCATCACTTCTAGGCATAGAATGTCATTATAAAGCAACAGACACTGGCCGAAATTTTAGGCTGATAATGATGGCGAAACTCTGTTTGCCATCAATATTCTGACACTGACTTCAGCATGTGCATTCATTTGGAAATCCAGAAGTTGCTGTCAGTGTTTTTATAGGCCCGTAGTTTCTGCCACAGACTCTAATCAACAGAAAAGCTATGAACAACTGAAAACCCTCACCTCTAGGTTTTTAGTCTTGATGTAAAATCCTTCAAAAATTTACATTTTGTTGAATGAGTTTAAACCTTTGTTTAACAGTTTACTGATTTCATAATTATTAATCAAGGCCCTAACTGTCCTCAAAGCTCATCTTTTGTTTGTGGAATGTTAACTTTCAGTTTTTTTTTTCTTTATTTTGGGTTCGTTTAATCCAATAATTTATTTTATGATCTGATATTTTAAATTAAAGGTGAGAGAATTCTGTTCTTCAACTTCCTAGTTTGGTGCGTGTTTCAATGAAATTGACTGTTTACTTTGCTTGTTGGCAACAGTTGATGTACACCTGGAGATCCCTTTGATTTTGTGCCAGATTTATACTGCCATCAAAAAAGGAGAATCCTGCACCTCAGAAATAATTAAATTATTGTGGGCAACTTTATTCAAGTTCATTGGCAACCGGAGTTGATTTGCTGCTGACTACAAAATTTAAGCTTTTATAGCCTTCTACAAACTGTCATTTTGTAATGATTTTTGTAATCCAGTCTAATCCCTGGTTGCTGCTAATGAGTATGAACTATTTGTAACATTGTTCAACCTCTCCTGTTAGGATACAACCTTTTAATCGCCCCCTTATTTCTATCATTCATCACGTATGTCACTAGACTTGTAACCAGAGGCTCAGGCTAATGATTTGGGGATCTTGGTTCAAATCTCATTTAGCAGCTCATAAAATTTAAATCCATTTAATAAATCTAGAATTGAAAGTTGGTATCAGTAATGGTGACTATGAAACTATCATGGATTATTGTGAAAACCTATCTGGTTCACTAATATCCTTCAGGGAAGGAAATCTTCCTGATCCAGTCTGTCCTAGATGTAATTCCAGGTCCACAACAATGTGATTGACTCTCAATTCCCCTGTGAAATGGCCTAACAAGCCACTCATTTCAAAGACATTTAGGGTTAGGCAGTAATTTCTGGCCTTGCCAGTGATACCCACATCCCATTGAAAAAACACTTTTCACAGTGGTCCATTTTAAATTGAGTCTACCTTAAGTTGATGAACTTTACTTTATTTTCTCATAGGTGTAAAATATGCCTGCAACTAACCAATTTTTATTGACTGTGACACACAACCAAAATAGAATGTTATGATCCTGGTTGATATAGCTTCTGAACAAGTCAGATTCCAGAATGAAATCTGTTTTTTTAGTTCAGATGTTCTTTTTCATTTGACTTGGTGGTCATTTGCTGAAACATGGGCACAAAAGGCTGCAGATTTTCCTTTAACAATAATCAAAGTTTATTACACTAAAATTAAACAATAAAAAAAACCAAGTTATATAAATATAGAACACAGTTCAGAAGATCTTAAATGATACAGGAAAAATAATATATCATCTATTCCCCAAAATCATCACTTTATAGTGTTTCAAATCCATTGAAATTATCCTTGTATATTAAATCTTTAAGTTTGACTCAACTGATTTTCTGCTGTGTTCCGTTACATGAATAGTCACGAGACTGAGAGCTTAGAATTTCTCAGTCTTTTAATAATCTGGAAACTTCTAACCAAATACTCCTGACCTCAAGTTTCACACCAGCTAAACCTTTATACCAAGGTAACTGAGCTTGCCCTGAACTGTCTTCTACACCTTTCTAGGAGAGAGACTACATTTGTTTCTGATCCCCGTCAAGTCTCCTCCAAAACTGCGCTAAAAGCTTTCAGTCTCTGGGTTTTTCTAAGTTAGCATAAATCCTCGATTATTCTAAACCAAAAGCTGTAAACCCCAGAATATCAGCAATCTTCCATTAATACTCCAGGGTTTTACAGTCATCTTCTTTCTGACATACCAGGATTAGGTCACAGTTCCAGGAGGCCCCTCCAAACTTGTTTTTTTTAATCCTTCACGAAGTTAGCTAACATTCATATGCAACTAGTTTGAAATATAAACTCAAAATATGATATTTGTATATGTTAATCCCATCTCTCGTCACAACAGTGGGTAAAATTTTCCACAGTGTTGCGAGGCAAGAGCAATAGTGAGAAAGTTGAGAAAATGCAACAAAACTGAAAAGCCATATTCTCAACATTGACGAAAAGGAATTCTGATTCTTTCCCTAAGGATTTAAATAGCAATTACTCAATCTTGCTAGTGACGACTTTGTTTCCATGCATTTGCATCATCATATTTGTTAATGTAATTTCTAAGCAGCTTCCATTTCTTCCCTCCTTGCCTACAAAACTAGACAATGCCAATTCCCAACATAAAACTTGGAGATGTTAACCCGGTGGTGATAACTTGACACTTTTTTCATCCAACTCCAGCGTCACCACTGTTTCCCTGTGTAAGCGCTGCCCTCTTCCACTCTTCTTACGTGCATGTGGATATTGCCAAACACTACATCATCATGGCTACTTTCAGAACAAGTCTTGCACACTTTCATCCATTTAGGACTTCACTTTTGAACTCAGGGTCATTTGTGCCTTGCATGATTTTGCTGGGTTACATGGGCTGAAGTGACATATATGCATCTCATGAGTCTTATAGTTTTTAGCTTATTTCCTCAATACTCCCTCCCTTCATGTTGAATTGAATACTGTCTGCTTCTCTGACTGGTATTGCTTATTCACAGAATCACAAATTGTTTTACAGAGGAGAAGGAGGCCATTCAACCCATCATGTCTGTACCAGCTTTCTGAGCACTCCTTCCTTTTCCCCATAACACTGTTACATTATTTCTATTTAAATAAACAGCCAGTGCCTTTGTGAATACCTCAGTCAAATCTGTCTCATCACACTTCCAGACAGGACATTCCAAACATTAACTGCATTCAGTGTGAAAAGTTCTTCCTTATCTCACTTTTGATTTTGTGCTGCTCACTTTAAAACTCTGCCCTCTGATACTTGATCTGTTTATGAGAGGAGACCTGTCCAGACACATTATTTTGAAACCATCTATCAACTCTCGTCTTAGACTTCTCTCCTAGGAAAATAGTCCCAATTCCTCCAACCCTTCCTCATAACTGAAGTTTCTCATCCCTGGAACTGCTCTCATAAACCTCTTCAGCTTTCTCTCCAATGTGTTCTCATTCTTGCAATACTATAGTATCCAGAACTTTTCCCATACTTCTAGATGACATCTAATTAGTGTCTTTTACAAGTTCAGCATGACATCCCTGATCTTCTACTCTGTGTCCCTACTTATCAAGCCTGGAATGCTGTATGCTGTGTTAACAACTCTCTCTTCTTTTTCTGCCATTATTAATGACTTGTACACATATATATCCAGGACTTTCTGTTCCTGCATGCCCTCTATATTGTAGTGTCTCCCCATGTTCTTAGTACCACATTGCATTACTTCACACTTCTCCACGTTGAACTTTGTCTGCCACCTATCTACACACTTCACCACATAAAACTAGATACAGTACTCTAGACGCACCCTCACCAACACCCTGTATTTTTGGAATGATACTTTCTTATTTTTAAGGCCAAAATTTCACGTAGCTTCTTAATTACTTGCTACAACTTAATCACTGATCCAATAAACTCTGTTCCCTGGCCTGAATTCATCCATAATCATATCCACCATCTTGGAATTACCTTCTTAACATTTTTCAAACAACAGTCTTTTTGGGGTAGGCTTCTGTCCACCATAAGTTGGACAATAGCGACCAAGTAAGGCTTTCCCTGACTCAGTGGGAGGGGACCTGTGAAATCGATTTATAATTGCTTCCATGATCCGTTTGGTCAGGATTGGAATGACATGGAACCTTGACTAGTCTTTTCAAATTGGTTCAGGCATATACCAGGCATTGCCGACTTTTTTGCTGCATCTCTTCTTATTCCATACCCCCATCGGCATCTGACCATTCTCCCATACGGGGCCTCCTTTCAATGATGTGCACTTCTGAGTATATTTTCATGAGGTTATGTTGAGCAGAATGTGGTGCTACCACATTTTGGGCTCTTGCCAGATGCCGTTTGGCACCTTCTATTACTCCTTGTTCTTCCCACTGCTTTATTTCCTCTTCCATATCCCTGTGTAAATTTAGCATATTTATCCCTCTGGCCTAATTGTTGCTGTTGCTACCTGATGCTCAGGACTTGTTGTGGCTGCCTTTGTAGCTGCCTCAGCTGTGTGTTGGTTACCCAGTTGAATGGAGTCTGTTCCCTTCTGATGCACCTTGACTTTATCACAGTGCTGTAATAGTCCCACTAATGCTTTAACTATTGTTTCAACTTCGTGTTACCATCTAATATGTAAAATCCAAAAGGTTTACTGACTGACTATGTAAATATTAGCCTGGTGAGTGCTGTATCACATTGTACACTAATCTGTATTCAACATTTCAATTTGTTTTCAAAAGTCCTGTTTCTTCGCTCCACCACACCTGAAGATCTAGTTGGTTACTATCTGTCTGTGATGGTATTGTCCACAGTGAGATTGCTTGACTGAAAAACATTCTCTTTTTAACTTTCCTTAAAGTACACCGTGCATCCAATTTGTGGATATTTCTTATTGTTCCTATTAATTGTCCAATGCTTTCAAAATAAAGCACGGTTACTGTTTCTGTCTTCTCATGAGTCTAGCAATCATCTTAACAACAGAAATCAAATGATTGTACTTGAATGTGGGCACTAATATTTTTGCACGCATTTATCCTTTGCATCTAGGTGTTTAGGCATTTCACAATTCCAGATTCAAATAAACTACTCTTGAGAACTACATTTCACGTGTGTAATTTCAATTCATCCTTTGACTAATTTCCAAGAACGTTGGCAGCTGTCCAGGAATGTCAAACAAAGGAAGGTGCCTCATTTCACTCATTGAGTCATTTATTTCACCTGCGTGTATGACCTATCCCTTACCATGTGATTTTGGCTTCAGTCTTTTGTGAATGGTTCCTGAGCTGTATGACCTCTCTGTAAGGCTTGTAGGCTTTTCTCATCTAATGCATTCCTGCCTTGCAGTATAGATCCGTATTCTCATCCACTACCTATTGTTCTGAGTCCTCCCTCAAATTCTTTGCATCTTATCCATACCTGATTGGTACAGCTCTCTGGCTTGGCTACAGGTGGTAAATTAAAACATGCTGAACCAAATGCATTGAAAGGGATAGGATTCAGTATGTTGTGTCCCATATTATCTTTGTTTCCCTCAGTCTTTGTAGGCATTGTCTGTTCTTTGCCCAAGGTCTTTGATAGTTAATAACCTTGACTGTCTGGATGCCTTGTTTGTTAGTTCTTGTTTTACTTATTAACAACTATGTGGCTAAAGCCTTAACTCTTACTAATTTAACTTTTAATTAACTATTAATTCAACTTTTCGGTATGTAAATTGCCATGGGGCGGCATGGTGGCTCAGTAGTTAGTGTTACTGCCTCACAACACCGGGTTCGATTCCACCCTTGGGCGACTGTCTGTGTGCAGTTTGCACATTCTCCCTGTGTCTGTGTGGGTTTCCTCTGGGTGCTCTGGATTTCTCCCACAGTCCAAAGATATGCAGGTTATGTCGATTGGTCATGCTAAATTTCCCATAGTGTCCAGAGATGTGCAAACTAGTTGAATTAATGATGGGAAATGCAGGGGTAGGGGTATGGGTCTGGGTGGGCTGCTATTTGGAGGGTCAGTGTAGACTTGATGGGCCGAATGGCTTGCTTCCACACTCTAAGGATTCTATGATTCAATGTGTAAAAGTCAAAGAGGACCAACCCTTAGTAGGATCAGGGTGGACTCAGCCAGTCACACGGTGTCACCACATTTATTCAAGTGTTTCATCCGATCTTAGTCCAGGGGTTTGGTCACAGTCAGTCAGATACTTAGAATCATGGAATCCCTACAGTGTGAAAAGAGGCTATTCAGCCCATCGAGTCCACATCGACCGTCCAAAGAGCATCCCATCTAGAACCCCATCCCATCCCTGTAACCCCATATTTACAATGGCTAACCCACCTAGCCTGCACACCCCTGGACATTACAGAAAATTTACCCTGGCCAATCCACCAAACCTTGGTCTGAGCAGAGTCCAAGTATCACTCTCCTTACAGTCTGACGACTGGGCCATGGTCAGTACTTCAGGTCAACTGCAACTGATCCAGAGATTACAGATACATTGATTGGGAACTATGCCCAGTTGGGTAATATATCGCAAAAGTTTGAGCATCGGGTGAAGCTAGCTTTTTCACACTCCTATACAGCAGCAACAGAAGTGATGTTTGACACTAACAGAAGTTCTGCCTATCACACAAATGAGTAATGTAGTTTATAATTGTCCGTGCTGACGTGATGCTTGAAGTGTAGGCTGTATGTCTCAAGAACATATCCCTTCAACTCTTTGCAACAGGCAAGGTACTAACCATACCCAATCAGTCCATCTGATAGCCAACATTATATATGATCCTGCAATTGGACATTTACAATGTAATTCTGATTTTGCAAAGAATTACGTTAACAGTGTACTCAACAAAATCGTTGACACCATTCTCTGACTAATTAATCAAGACATGCCTTGATCAATCAGAGTCAACTCGTCTGGTTTAAACTTTAAACAAAGCTTGACAGTTAACTGACAATAGTCATCTAATGGGTGTATTCTCCATGGTAATTACTGTACTAGAAAAAGTCCATCTGTCAATCAGTCGACATTCTCATACACAGAATTTTTTTTGTATTACATTGGTATTCTTGAAAATTGTCCAATTGCAGTTAGTCTGTGACCATTATAGTGAAGAGAATTTACTGCAAAAGTGGGGAGATAATGCTTCAGTTATTCAGGGCATTGCTGAGACCACATCTGGAATACTGTGTGCACTATTGTAGAAAGGGTGTTGCCTCTTATAATCTTGAATTAGAAGTCACTGTTTAAAAATAAAGGGTTGCCCTTTCAAGACAGATGAGACTTTTTTTTCCTCTCGCAGAAGGTTGAGTCTTTGGAACTATCTTCCATAAAAGGTGATGGAAGAAGAGTTTTGAATATTTTTAAGTCAGAGATAGATAGAGAGACAGACAGACAGACTTGCACCTCATTGCTCATCAAGAATCTGTCAGAGGTAGGTGGGAATGTAGGATAATCAAATCATCTATGATCTTATTGAATGGGAGAAGACTCGGGTGAGAGGCAATGGCTTACTCCTGCTCCCAATTCTTTTATGTATGTTCAGATGTTTCTATTTATACAAGTTTTCAGAATTAAGCTCCTTTTATCAAGAAAACCCCTTTGCAGTCAAACAATGATTGTCCTCCTCAAAACTAACTTTTACATTTAACATTTCTGAAGAAGGGTCCAGACCTGAAACGTCAGCTTTCCTGCTCCTCTGATGCTGCCTGGCCTGCAGTGTTCATCCAGCTCCACACCTTGTTACTTCAGACTCCAGCATCAGCAGTTCCTACTATCTCTAACTTCTAGTTAATTTTTGTTTCTATCATCTCTCAAATTCACACGTTAAGATATAGCCTCAACTATTGAGAACATATTGCAAAGTAATGTTAAGTAATTAAACATAAAGACATATTGATCCTTCCCTCTGTTTAATTTCCTGGCACCTTAAAATATTGTTTGGATGGTTTTACCTAACTTAAATAAACTACTTGACCAAGTGTTTGATTTTCAGGTATGAAAATTAATGGATAGCTACTCTTTAGAAATATTTGCCTAGTTGAAAAAGGGATCAGTGTCTATCCTAACAAAATGATACCAAACATAAAGAAACTTGTGCCCTGTAAAGAGCACTGTTGTACTCAAGTTGCCTGAAAACATCGGAGTAGTGCAACAAGAGAAGAGAATCATTGCTTTAAAAATGTTTTTAAACTATTTCAGGTTACAGGATGTCACCACCGCAGAAATGTCCAGAGGAAATATATACCATAATGCTGAAATGCTGGGAATATAAACCAGAAAATCGACCAAATTTCAGTGATGTGTACAAAGAACTCTTATGCATCAAGAAGAAGATAACGTAGTAACACAAGGAGTAAATGCTGACTGTAGGAAATTCAGTATTCAGTTATTGCAAAACATCAGGAGTCATACAGTACCATTTTTGCTCCGATATATTGTATTTAATGTGATGTACGTTTGTTATATTGCATCAGCATTTTTTGTTGCAACTTTTAAGTATTTCTTTCCTGTTTTGTTTTATGCCCATAAATATTTGTAAGGTATATCAAGGAGAAAAGGCTTCTCAAAGCATTAAAAAAAAAAAATTGCGAAAACACACACCTAACTAAGAAGCAAAGTTCTCTGGTTGCCATTTTCATAAAATGTAAATAGAGCACATCTGTTTATGGTATGTTTATTTGGTGCTATTGAAATGCAATACAAGATTTTCTGTGGCGCTGACCCCAAAGCTGATGATTTTAAATTATTATTGTCAGACTCAAAAATATTTACTATAGACAACCAGGAAAATATGTTCCCGAGACAGTGATTGTTTCCACGTATTTTCAAGAGCACTGAACTGGCCAGATTGACCATATACCAGCAAGACATTTCTTTAATTGTTTGCTTCAATGATCACTTACGTACACAATTTTTTTGGGTTGCTACTATTGAAGACATCAAGATCAGCCTTCTATGATGTGTTTGAGATTCCAAAGTACTGTACTGGACAATGCAAGTACTCTCGCTTTTTTAAATGAAAAACGTTAACACTTTTTTGTTTACTTCAGTTTTGAGATCTATGATCTTATTGAATTCAAAATGCACCTTGACGTCTGACTACTAAAATATTTAAATATTTTGCCAGCAGCAGTAGGCACTTGACCAAGGTTTAGCAGGAATCAGATTGTTTTGCTGTCCATATATTGATGCAAATAAGTTAACCCTTTGAATATTAAGTGATGTCTCCAGTTTTCAGATAATCTGAAATAATTATTTCCTCTAATTTCTAATGACAAATTGAAATAGGATCAGAGAAGCGTGCCAGATGCTGCTGCTTGTGTTATTGCTCAGAAATAACCTTCCAAATTTGAAGTATTGATTTTAATGATAGAATATAATTGCAACACTCAAAAGATCTGACAGAAGCTAAATAGCTAGATGTATTTTGGTTTATCACAATTTAGAAAGGACCACTTCATGTCAACACTATTCCAGATTCAGTGATGACATGCGCACCACTTTTGGTTAAATTGTATATATCCTATCATTATCAAGGGGCCTTAGGTTCATATGCATGTTAAAGCAACAGAATCCTCCATAACTAGCATTTGTTGCTGATGTGCAGGCATGTCCTGACAGAGTGCAAAATCAAGTGGAGAGCATTCTGCGGGAATGGGTTTCATCAGCTCCGTTGCTGAGGCAAAGTTTTCAATGTGAAATAATGCGGCCAGCACAATGACACCCACTTTTGACATGAATGTGAGCATTAGCTGATCACAATAGACCTTGAGAAAGGGCTTGTAATGAAATACGCTGTTTCAAAGCGTAATATGTTTAGATGTTTGATGCAGCGCTTTATGGTTGGTTCCAATTTATATTTTCCACATTGTCACACTGTCCAAGAGAACGTTTGTTTCAGAAAATAATGCTCTGATAAAGGATCACTAGCGTGACAGTGAATCAGCCTCATTCATTCACTAGATTCACAATTGGATCCCGTGTTTCACTAATCGTGGATTGTTATATGTTTGCCCATTTCTGAATCCTTTTCTAAAATTTTGATTGAAGATGATTATAGTACATTGATCTGTAGCATTCTCTGTATTTGGAATGTATGACTAAAGCCAGACTGATTTGCAGGAAGAAACGTGAAACAAATTGAAATCCTCTGTTGTGAATCATGATCTTAATGGCAATGTTTGCAAGAGTCCCAACTGTTTAGGTTTAATATTTCCATGGTTTTGTTTTTCAAATTTGTTTACAAAGTATGAATTGATGTATCGGTTTGTTTAATATGTTTAGTCAATTTTGATTTTTGTTGAGTTTCGAATTTGCAGAAAATGGTACAATTTACAGTACTCCTAAAACTAAGCCCATCTTGTAAACAACAGTACAATATATAGGAATTTTATGGATTCAGATGTGAGGTTAGTACTGTGTTAACAGAAACTAAACAAGCTGTGCATTGTATATTTTAAGTACTTTGCACAGCATGCATTTCATAACATTGTTTAACAAAGTTTCTACTGATTTTTATTTGAAGTGTTGTAGCCAATCCATTGCAAGTGCTTTTGTTCCAAAAACCAATCAAGTTTATGTTTATGCTCAATATTTCCACAGACAGTAAATATTTAATTGCCTGCATTTCAGTGTTTTAAAGCAAATTCAGCATTAAGAATGGACAATAGATGTATGGCAAGTTCCACACAAAATGTTTGTGCTGTAAGAATGTTAAATATTTACAGGATTATTGGTATTTTCAAACTGGTGAAGTGGAGCAGAGTTTCAGCTTTATCGGTAAATTGTGCTGTCATATTACAATTGTTTCTTTGCAAACTGAGTATTGTTACTGTAACGTCAGTAAATTTCTTGGGTTTCAAAAATGGTTTTGTTGTGAAAATAATTCCTGATTGATCAAAACTGCAGTAAGGAGGCTTTGATTTCATCATGGATAGTGTACTATTATACCATGCTTCCATTCTGGAGTGGTGGGTGAACAAAGTCTTAAAATAAATGTTAATTCCATGATACCAGCCAAGTAGTCACTTTTGAACTGCCTAAATGGCATAATTTTAAAAAGGCCGTCACTAATTTAACTGCTTTTAAATATATTTAAATTTACATTCCGAATTCCACAATAAGCCCATCATAGAATTAAACTGTGTACTTTGAACTTCATGTGACATTTTGTAGCAATAAAATGCTGTTCTTAAATATCCACAGCATTAGAATCCTAAGCAAAATGCTGTGTTCTATAGTAGATTTGTCTAGTGAGAACTTAAGTAGTCTCATGAACAGGTAAAAATATTTTTAGTAGATGGGACTGATTTTGTTTAAAATCTGTAAAGATTGTTGAAATTTTAATTGGGGGAAATAGTAAATATAAACTGGAGAAAGAAGGTTTGGGAGATTGCATATCAGAGTGCCATACATGTTCCATAATATGTCACCGCTCGGATGCATGTAATTTTTTTTTTCAATCTTTTGTTTGAGTGGTACAGGAAATTAATGCAGTGATCTCTCAACAAAGCCACCTAAAGCTGAAGCCAAGCCAAATTAATGAATAAAAGCTTTCCTGTATATGCTGTCTAAATGCTTTTATGTGGCATGAGTTTGAATTGCACCTTTATTCTGGTTAGCACAAATCCAAATATTTTAGCGTCAATACTATTGCGTTCATTTAACAACATTACAAAGAATAGGCCTGCCCGTTCTCCTGATGTATGTGTGACCATATATAAAAACAGTGCTTTGGCTTTTTTTAATCAGTGTTTCATTGTAAAGATTAATCTCAACTAATGTCCCATTATTCTCAAATTTCATGCTGCCGTAAGACAAATGATAATAAGCCTTCAATTTTCTGATCTGTGCCATACATATTGCTTTTATATGAAGAAAATAGTTGTTCTCTGCCATTTAACTTGTAAACCCTGCCAGTAACAATGAGTGAAACATCAAATTGTGCTGTGCTTTTCAAAAGCTCCAGTAGTGTGCCAGAATAAAGACTGAAATTTTGATTTTTGTTAATATATAAAAGTGCACCTTTTCTTTTTCCAATGTTAAGCTTCTGTTTTTAAAGAAAAGACATTTTCAACACTGGAACTAAGTGATTCTTTTAAATGCCTTTGACAGAAAGTTTAAGACTAAAATATACTTTTAAAAGTAAATGTTCACTTTAAAATTAAAGTTTTACTTTTAAGGATGTATATATATTTCTGCCCCAAAAATAAATGAAAATCAGGCTGAATTCTGATGTGACCATTGGGGGAGTAATGTTCTAAATATCATAGACAGAAATACTTGTCTTTTGTAATTTTTAACACAATACTGTGTTGTAACATTTATTTATTTTGTACTTTTTTACATTGAATTTACAGGGATTTTGAAACGACTTTTCCAGTTATCACTTTCTCTGTATTCTGTGCTCTTGTGAATTGCGGACTTGTTTTAAACTGCTTCTGTTATATTGGACCAAATACCACTAACAAGTCTGTTGTTGATATTTATACTGTAATCTCTAATAAATAAATGGTCTGTCAGTATTATTATAGTCTTTTATTTCCAGAAATATTAAGAAGTCGCTTTTTATGCACAGTGTAACATTACGCCAGACTCCTCTGCATAAATAATTACCTCCTACTAATTATTAGTTTTGTCTAGCTTAATGTCAGAAGTGATATTTCTTTGATATGAAAGAAATAATTTGTTTTTAAAATGCAACAGTCATTTTGGTAAGAGTTCTGAAAATGTATTCTGTTCCTGCACAGAGCTGTCCACCATGATGTTTTCGGGTCAATTTATCACTGATTACTGCTGGTCTAAATAATCTGAAGCACAATCCTGACCAATGAAAATAAATTGTACGCATATTTAATGCTCACTGCATGTTTTCTTTTCTCTGTTCTTGTTTAAGAGCTTCCCATTTATACCGTGCAGTTACAATATTAAAATGCAGATGACTATGAGCCCCCTTACTGCCCTCAACTGAGAGTTAGTTTACTAGTCTAAGAATAAATCATGATTATTCTCAAAAACAAGACACTGATAACTGGGTGTGTTTGGCACCATATGAATTGTACCTGCTTTACCTTGGGCAGCTTGATCTGTTTTTTTGTAACTCTTTGTTTTCATATGGTAGAATTTTGCAAAGTATTGCTGTGAATACTGTTAAAGAAAATATCATTTTACTCTAGGAAGATACAATTTTTACGTGATTCCAGTATTCAGCACCCTCCTGCATTCTTTATTGAACCAGGGTTGATCCCATGGCTTAATGGTAATGGCAATGCCAGGCCATGAGGTCACAGATTATGTTGTAATATGATTAATGAATATGATCTTCTATTGGCCATGAAGTTTCACCTACACCACCTTTTGTGTGCATGATAGTGTATACATAAAAGTATGATGCATATATTCATGAGATCAACAGCAGAGGTAAGTCCCTAGAGCACACAGACAGAAACTCACCATGAAAGTCCACAAAATTGATAGTCAGTGTTTTGGAAATGTAATAATGACATACTTGGGGAAGGCAATGGCTTAGTGGTATTATTGCTAAACACTCAACTCAAGAAACTCAGCCAATGTTCTGGGGACCCAGGTTCAAATCCTGCTACAGCAAATGGTGGAATTTGAGTTCAAATAATTTTTAAAAACTCTGGAATTAAGAATCTGCTGATGACCATGAAATCATTGCTGATTGTCAGAAAAACCCATCTGGTTCACGAAGGATATTCGTCATCCTCAACTTGTCTGGCCTACATGTGACTCCAGACACACAGAAATATGGTTGACTCTCAGTCGTCCACTGAAACAGTTTAGCAAGCCATTCGGTTGTACCAATTGCTACAAAATCTCAAAGATAGGAAACGGGATGGATCATAATGGCAGAAACAGCCCTGCAAAGGTTTCCTTACCAACATGTAGGGTCTCGTGCCAAAATTGGGAGAGCTGTCTTAGGTTAGTCAAGCAACAGCCAGTCTCAGTCATAGTCATACTCACGGAATTGTACCTTGCAATGTCCCAGACTCTAATATCACTATGGGGCAGGACAGATCTAGCAGAGGTGACAACGGTGGAGTCCTCAACATTGGCTCCAGACCCCATGAAGTCTCATGGCTTCAGATGAAACATAGGCAAGGAAACCTCCTGCTGATTACCCTGTACCATACTCCCTGCACTGATGAATCCGTATTCCTCTATGCTGAACAACATTTGGAGGAAGAACTGAAGATGGCAAGGGAGCAAAATGTACTCGGGGTGGGGGATTTCAATGCCCACTACAGAGTCACTCAGCAGCAGTACTACAGATCGAGCTGGTCAGGTCCTAAAGGACATACTGCAGACCCAGTCTAGCAGCTATGTGGTGAGGGAAACGACAAGAGCAAAATATACTTGACCTCATCCTTACCAATCTGCCAGCTGCAAATGCATCGGTCCATGACAGTGTCAGTAACTGCAACCATTGCACAGGCCTTTTGGAGACAAAGACCACCTTCACATTGAGAATGATCTGCATTGTGTAGTGTGGCACTACCACCGTGCTAAATGGGATAGATTTCGAACAGATCTGGCAACTCAAGACTGGGCATCAATGAGGTGCTGTGATCCATCAACAGTAACATTGTTGTCCAGCACAATCCGTAACCTCATGGCCTGACATATTCCCCACTCAACCATTATCAACAAGTCAGGGTATCAAACCTGATTCAATGGAGAGTGCAGGAGGGCATGCCAGGACCAGGTGTCAATCTGGTGAAGCCACCAAACAGGACTACTTGAATGCCAAACAGCATAAGCAGCAAGTGATAGACAGAGCTAAGCAACCCCCACAAAAAACGCATCAGATCTAAGCTCTGCAGTCCTACCACATCCAGTTGTGAATAGTGGTGGACGATTAAACAACTCACTGAAGGAGGAGGCTCCACAAAAGATCCCCTTCCTCCAATGATGGAAGAGCCCAGCACATCAGTGCAAAAGGTAAGGCTGAAGCTTTCGCAGTAGACTTCAGCCAAAAGTGCTGAGTGGATGATCCATTACAGTTTCCTCCAGTGGACCCCAGCATTAGATACCAGTTTTCAGCCAATGCAATTCACTATGTGATATCAAGAAATGGTTGGAGACACTGGATACTGCAAAGGCTATGGGCCCTAATATTCTGGCAATAGTACTGAAAACTTGTCCCCTAGCCAAGCTGTTCCAGTACAGTTACAACATTGGCAGCTACCTGACAATGTGGAAAATTGCTCAGGTATATCCTGTAAATAAAAAGCAGGACAAATCCTACCTGACTACTTACCACCCTATCAGTGTATTCTCGATCATCAGTAAAGTGATGGAAGGTATCATCAACAGTGCTATCAAGCAGCACCTGTTCAGCAGTAACCTGCTCAGTGATGCCCAGTTTGGGTTCTACCAGGGCTACTCAGCTCCTGAACTCATTACAGCCTTGGTTCAAACATGGACAAAAGAGGTGAATTCTAGAAGTGAGGTGAGAATGACAGCCCCTGACATCAATGCTGCATTTGATGCGTGGCATCAAGGAGCCCTAGCAAAACTGGAATCAATGGATATCAGGGGACAAACTCTTCAGTTGTTGGAGTCATTACTGACACATAGGAAGATGGTCGAGGTTGTTGGAGGTCAGTCATCTCAGCTCCAGGACATCTCTGCAGGAGTTCCTCAGGGTGGTGTCCTAGGCCCAATCATCTTCAGCTGCTTCATTAATGACCTTCCCTCCATTATAAGGTCAGAAGTGGGGATGCTCACTGATGATTGTACAATGCTCAGCACCATTCATGACTCCTCAGATACTGAAGCAGTCCATTTCCAAATGCAACAAGATCTGGACAATATCCAGGTTTGGGCTGACAAGTGGCAAGTAACATTCGCACCACACAAATGACCATCACCAATAAGAGACAATCTAACTACTGCCCCTAGATGTTCAATGGTGTTATCCATCACTGAATCCCCCACTATCAACATCCTGAGGGTTATCATTGACCAGAAGCTCAACTAGACTCACCCCATAATAACAGTGGCTACAAGAGGAGGACAGAGACTAGGAATATTACGATAACTCACTTCTTGACTCCCCAAAGCCTGTCCATCATGTCCAAGGCACAAGTCTGGAGTGTGACAGAATAATCACCACTTACCTGGATGAATGCAGCCCCAACAGCACCCAAGAAACTTGATACAATCCAGGACAAAGCAGCCCACTTGATTGGCGGTACATCTGGGCACCATGGTGACTTAGAGGTTAGCACTGCTGCCTTACAGTGCCAGGGACCCAGGTTTGATTCTAACCTCGGGCAACTGTGTGGAGTTTTCACATTTTCCCCGTGACTGCATGGATTTCCTCCCACTGTCTAAAGATGTGCAGATTAGGTGCGTCGGCTATGCTAAATTGCCCATATTGTCCATGGATGTGTAGATTTGGTGGATTAGCCATGGGAAATGCAGAATTGTGCGGATGGGGTTAGGGAGGTGGTTCTGGGTGAGATGCTCTTCAGAAGGTCAATGTGGACTTGATGGACTGAATGCCTGCTTCCATACTGTAGGGATTCTGTGATCCACAGGCATCCACTCCCTCCACCACTGATGCTCAAAATAGCAGCGTGTACTATCGACAAGATGCACTGCAGAAATTCACCAAAGATCCTCAGGTGGCACCTTTCAAACCCACAACCACTTCCATCTTGAAGGACAATGGCAGCAGATACATGGGAATATCACCACCTTCAAGTTGCCCTCCAAGCCACTCACCATCTGATAATAAATGCTGGCCAGCCAGCAAAGCCCACATCCCACAAATGAATAAAAAAAAATACTCCATCTGTACTGTATTTCTGGGATTGGAATGTGCATCATCTACCCTGTTGTACATGGGTTTGTATTGTGTTATGCAGTTCTGTGCATTAGTAGTTTGTGAATTAGTGAAAGGTTGAGTACAATATAAGTAATTAGTAATTATTTAAAATGAGTGCATTTGAGTGAAGCAGTAAACAATCACTGACTACTGATGAAATGAGAAGACCCCACCCTATTGAGTGACTGCCTCCTGGTACAAAATATCCAGATAATTTTCTTCCTTATGTATTGCAGTGTCTGCAGCTCAGCCTCCTGCTCAATGTCTTTGCAGATAATTTGGCTTGGATAACATTGGCAATGACAAGCTCTCACATGCTTTAGATGTGACACATCAGTTTCCATACTGAAATAAAATATATCTTAATTGCTTACCAGATACTCACTGATCAATAGCATTGTCCCTTGTAATAGAGTAAGAATCAATGTCTACGGTGTGAGAAAGTTAGGAAAAGTGAAGGAGCACCTCCTTACCCTGATTTCCCAACTTTCAGCACTTTGAACAAAGTCAGGTTCAATATGGTTACTGAATAGGAGTTTGTCTGTTTATAATCTAGATTGATCACTGTAAGACATTTAAAACATCTGAATGGGTTTCATGACTGAAAGTGTTTTCTGTATCATGTTTATACTGGTTTCTGGTGTGTCCACTACTCTGCTGCTA